GTAGTTGAACAGAGAAAATAATGTGATCAGGATTCAAAGAATAATTATTTTTACGAAATCACGGAAAAGAAGAGAATACCTGTGATCATGGTCAACCAGTGCACTGACAAATGGCACCAGAGTTCGAGCAATCTGGGCAGTGATCTGTTCACTGACAGCAAACACCTTCGACTGAACAAGGTAAGCGAATCGGCCTTTTGCAATATTATACACAGCAACCAGTCTGAGAGACCATTCGGTGTTACACGGTATTGAGTACAGCGAACCAAGAATTCTTGATTTTTTCAACCCATATTCATAACTGCCCTGCAAAACCGGCACAAAAATAGCATAAAGAACGGTGCGTGAAGATCAAATTTGTCTGGTCACTTAGGACAAAAATACGAAAACAAACGAACGATTAGTGAGCGGCCGTCGACTGGTGACACGAGCGCACCGATGCTATGCCGAGTACAAGGATCCCTCCAACTGATCGAAAATTTCATTGCAGACGAACACCTTTCAAAATCATGGCCCGCCATGAGCGCCTCGACAAGCGACTCCATTAGGTCTGGTCGCAGCCGGATTACTACACCATCCTTCAACAACACAAAACATCAATTTCCTTTTATGTGACCCTGGCATTCCCGTTTGGAATGACCACTTCTTGATCGGGCCTCCATGGCCCCTTTTTCCCTTTCTATTTCAAGCAAAAGGAAAAGTTACTGAATTAGAAGTTCGATAAATTCAGAAAAACGATGTAAAGGATGTTTCAAATATCGGCAAACACACTGGTTTCATTATCCACGGACCAAAAATTATTTCGCGCATTTTGCCGAAAATAAGTAAGGCTAGAAATCGCCGGGCAAACGAATTTTAAGGCTGGACCAAGAAACTTACTTCTAAAACGCTGACTGTGAACGTTTCTTCGCCGCCTTTTAAAGCTCCATCGATAACAACAAATGATGCACCCGTCACTATAACAAATTGCTTTTTCTATGAATTCAGCAAGTACAGGAAAAAAGCGTTCGATATGGGTTTGGCGTGTCACTGGACAACATACCGTCAATTATCAAATGGCCAGCTCCGGGCACCAAAAAACCGTGTCACGCACGCGTTTTTGCAGTTATTACACAATCTCACAGCTTCGAATGAGATTGCATTGCATAAATTTCAACTTCCTGGCCTCTCTAGTTACTGAGTTGAAAGTGATAATAAAATCCAAACATACAAACAAAAACGCAACCGCACATGTACAAATATAGAAGCACATATAAAAACACATAAACACACACACATATACACACAAATATAAACACACACACACACACA